ACCTTATATATATATATATATATATATATATATACACACACACACACACACACACAGAGTATTGTCAAAAGTATTGGGACACCCCCTACTAATGAACAGGTTTGTCTACTTTAGTAATTTCCGTGAGTACAAATCTTAATGTTTTAGCATATAATGGATATTCAAGGGAATTGTGTGCTTCTAATTTTATAGCAACAGATTGGACAGGACCCTTTTCTAACATGACAATGCCTCTGTGTATAAGACAAGGTTCAAAAAGAAATGATTGATTCAGTCGGTGTGGAAGAACTTGAGTGGTCTGCAGAAACCCAGCTGAACACCTCTGGTGTGACTTTAAATGCTGACCTTGAGCCAAAAACTCATCACCAAACACCAATGAGTACATATGAGTAAAGTCATTTTAGACACTTCCAAAACGGTTGCAAAAGTTCTGGAATTTTTTTTTTTAAATACATGAATTATGTTTCCATCTTTTTTGCCACAGTTTTGGAAGTGCCTTTTTCTGCTCTAAAGAAGGGGGTGTCCCAATACTTGATTTATAAAAAGTAGAGAGAGAGAGTGAGAGAGAGTTCAGATGCAAAAGCCTGTAAGTGCCATTTGAAATTTTCTTCTAAAATGAGCATTTTTATCAGCCTCCTATGTGTTGGTTTAGTAATGTCACTTGAATGGCAATGAATAGGTTATTTTCTTTGCTATTAAAGTAAAATAACAATTATGAAGAAAAATTACAATTTTAGAAGAAAATTTTAGATGGCACTTAGAGGCTTTTGCATCTGAACTCTTCATATATATTTATATACACAAACCAAAACGCAAATAAAACTTATTTTAGGATTATGGAAATATTTTGCATAACCACATTATACTTTACAATTTAAATATTCATGTAACAGTAATGACAATAAGGGGAAGACCATTTTAACCAAATTATGAATTATGATTTTTGGGTTGAAATGCAACCTGAACATGTTTTTGACAGGGTGTGAGAGATTTACCCTTAAATAAGTAGCACAACAGTCAGCACCTGTAAAAATGAATGGGTCATGATACAATTCTCACTCAGTTTGCTGGTTTGCCATTTGTTTTTTTACAAGCCAAGAAAACAGCTAAATCGGCCCAACATTATCATTCCATAAGCACTATCGGACCCAAAACAGGATATGGATGCATACATTGTTAGTTGGGGCATTGTTTGCTGAGGTCTCATTGTATTTTTCTCTTGTAGATAAATGACCTTGGTATCGTATAGTCCACAAAAGTTTTCTTGCTCTGTATTTTCTCTCTATCTCTTGCGTTCTCCCTTCTGTGTGCGTTTCTTTTCTTTGTCCTTGCGCTCCTGCTTGGCTAGTTTGTCTTTCTCGCGTTGCATCTTGTCCTGCTCTTTCTTCTTCTCTGCGTCCTCTCTGGCCTGGTCACGCTGCTGTTTGCGGTGGTCCAAAACATCCTCGACATTGGTGTTTTTGAACAGGGCTGGGGCTGGAAGTGAAGGGAACAGTTCATGTCTAATCATTGCAGATCATACTACAGCTGCTCCTACAACAGTACTGCACACTATATACAGTGGGTACGGAAAGTATTCAGACCCCCTTCAATTTTTCACTCTTTGTTATATTGCAGCCATTTGCTAAAATCATTTAAGTTAATTTTTTTTCCTCATTAATGTACACACAGCACCCCATATTGACAGAAAAACACAGAATCGTTGACATTTTTGCAGATTTATTAAAAAAGAAAAACTGAAATATCACATGGTCCTAAGTATTCAGACCCTTTGCTCAGTATTTAGTAGAAGCACCCTTTTGATCTAATACAGCCATGAGTCTTTTTGGGAAAGATGCAACAAGTTTTTCACACCTGGATTTGGGGATCCTCTGCCATTCCTCCTTGCAGATCCTCTCCAGTTCTGTCAGGTTGGATGGTAAACGTTGGTGGACAGCCATTTTTAGGTCTCTCCAGAGATTAAATGATTTTAGCAAATGGCTGCAATATAACAAAGAGTGAAAAATTGAAGGGGGTCTGAATACTTTCCGTACCCACTGTATACTGTGTATAACCAGAGCAGACATCAGCTCCTGAAGTGATCGTGGTTATTACATAGTAGAGTGATGGTGTCAAAAAGGATACATTTTTCACTGGGTATACCCACTGCAGCTGGTTCTTCCTCATCATCTTCAGTACAAATGTTAAAGAAACTGCTTCACACTGGATCACCTGATCCCTGACCTTGAGAGAGACTCGGTGATGCTTTGTTCTTAACAAAGTGCCATAAAAAATACAACATTACAAACAAGTGTGTTAAAAGGATATTCCTCCTCATCGGTGACATGAGCATACTGTGCCAGTAGAGCCTCTTTCCTCTTCTTGGCTTCCTCCGACACCTCCTTCTGTTTGACCACAATCTGTGCCTGCTTCTCTATCAAACTGGCAATAGCCTGAACCTCAGCTGAAAATAGAAAACAAAAAACAAAGACAGTTTCCCAAATACAGTAGCTGAAAAACATGTTTATATCACTGTTACTGTACTGTGAGGTAATACAGAAGAAAATAATGAGAACAATTAAAAATCTTGGTTATACTAAAATTATGGAATTGTTACACAAAAAAAGTGAGAAATAAAAATATTAACGTACAACCCTGTTCAACAGTTTTGTCAAATTGTTAAATTTTTTTTTTTTTTTAAGATGCCTCTTATGCTCACCAAGGCTTGGTTTACTTGATCAAAAACCAGTAAAATTGTGAAGCATTATTACAAAATTTACTGAATTCGCTTAATATATTTTAATACATAATTTATTAGTATTCAGTAAAGCTGATTTTTCAGCAGCCATTACTAATATGATGATTTGCTCAAGAAACATTCTTCTTATCAATGTTGAAAACAGTTTAGTGGTTTAGAAACTGATACCTTTTTTAGGGTTTTTTAATAGTTTTTTTGTAACATTATAAATGTCTCTAGTCGCGTTTGATCAGTTGAATGCTTCCTTGCTAAATAAAAGTATTAATTTCTTTAAAAAATATCTTACCACACACTTTTGAACAGTAGTGCATAGTACAATGTTGATCACTCACAGTAGCGTGAGACTGGTAAATGGGGTCGCTGTGATACACCTTTTCTAATTTCAGCTCTCCACTTACCATCTCCCTGAGTACCCTTCACTGCAGATCTGCTGCACTCAGTCCACTGTTTTAAGATCTGCTGGCAAACCTCCTCAAGCGTGTCTTCTTCCTACGACAATAAAGTGACCTCTGTTTACTAACACAAGCCTAAAACGGTCAGGCAAACGACTGTATATGGATGTTTACAGTGACTTCACACCAATCTCTCTGCACACACCTTTCGTAAACCTACATTGAAAATAAGCTGCTCGTGTCCGATTATTTTTGAGTAAATGATGATAGTAATAAACATAATACCAGTGAATGGCAACAGGCGTTTGATCACGTTTCGCACTTTAACTGCTCAAATGAAGGGCCAAAAAAGCAATTCAGTTTATAACATAGAAGTGTTTTTCGGGTTTATGATGAGGTTTTCAGAACAATCGTTAAATATTACAAGTTTCTAACAGTGTGAAATGTCTTGACAGCTGAGTTGAGCGTGCACGGACCAGAAAAGCGGACAGGATGCCCTGAAGAGCGTCCTTTTGCTCTTCACCGTTTTCCTCTTCCTGAAGCACTCCGAGTATATATGCTCCGTAAACTTCTCTGTCTACTTCGAGGGAGTCCAACCGCTCGTTCAGCCAGTTTTCAAACTCCCTGACGATTTGGGTGGGCGCCGCCATTTTCCCTGGCTGGGGTCCTGATAGTGAGGCGGGATGTCCGCGCAGAAGGCCAGACACAAATGCGCTACACTAACGTTCAAAAGAAAATCCATACTTTACGCATCCTTTTCATTGCGATAGAATTTGCGAACTTAGTTATTTCATTATTTACACGGGGAGATTACATTTAGCTTGGTATTCATATAAGCGAGTGCCGTCTAGTACGTGCGAAAAGCTTATTTAATTGCTCATAATTTAAGCGCATCATGTTTGAAGCAGGCATTGTTTTTATAATGCAAGCGTCCTGTGCAGCAAAGTGGTATCAGAACAGTTGATTTTAAACCAAAGCTCACCACTAGAGGGTATTAGCTGCCAATTTACCCAAGAAGGCCGAATTCTCAGGTGCACATCCGGATCCAGGTAAAGAACTGTTGGATGCTGCTGTATTAAAAAAGCATATGCAGGTACTGTGATTTTTGTTGTTTTTGTTTGTTTTTTTAGCAATACATGATTAACACGTTTGCATCTGGTGGGGGCATTAATATTTTTTGCATAACCTCATTTCACTTAGGAATCATAATCAGGTTTAAAACAGTGGTCAATAAAATTAATATGCATCATTTCAATATGCTGAGAGGGCTACAAAAATATTCTATAGAATGCTTGTGTTTATGTTTCATAAATTGTGTATGTACATAGGTCTGCGTAAAAGTCTGCTCATGCTTAAGATTAAGCCTGTATCATATTTGATGCATGAATTTCTCAGGTCTTTAATATATCAACATGATCAAAACTTTGCTGAAACACCTGTTGCGCACAATCTATGAGTATAATTCTAAAAATGTCCACCCAAAAGGTCATGGTACACACGTCCTTTTGCAGTGAATGTAAGGTAAAGTAAATGTAAGGAGAACTTCACCGTGAAAAATCATGTTAAAATGTACGATACAGCAGTTTTGCTAAAAAATGTTTATCTCTCAATCACTGTATTGCATTGCATTATATGTTTTGCCCCCCAAGATTAAAACTAGAGTATAATGAAGCTTTTGATGATCTTTTTAAAGGGGTCATATGATGCTGCTAAAAATAACATTATTTTGTGTATTTGGTGTAATGAAATGTGTTTATGCGGTTTAAAGTAAAAAAAAACACATTATTTTCCACATACTGTACGTTATTGTTTCTCCTCTATGCCCCGCCTTTCTGAAACGCGTCGATTTTTACAAAGCTCATCGGTCTGAAAAAGCGAGGTGTGCTGTGATTGGCCAGCTATCCAGAGCGTTGTGATTGGCCGAATACCTCAAGCGTGAGACGGAAATGTTAAGCCTCTCACATACTGTTGATGCCGTGGCCCCGGCTTAGCGTGAGCTGAGGCCGGGCTAGAGTGAGCTGAGGCGACGGGGTCGAGAACGGTGTGCCCGGCAGATCCGACGAATGAGCGGCAACCACATGTGATGACCCCGGGCTGAGAAAATTTAAATCGCATCATATGACCCCTTTAAGACATACTGTTAGGAAATATATAAATTGCATATAAATATCAGTTTTCACTCTGTAAGTAATCTTCTATAGGCTACTGTTATAAAAAAATATGACTGATTTACATTACAAACTATCAGATTTTATCTGTTTTTTTGGCCATATAAATATCAATATCTGCACAAAATTATTAATATTATTATTTTGCAGTTTGAGCCTCTGACTAAAATGTAGGTGTTTTTTTTTCTTCCTCGAATGTAAGCTCCATATTCTCGCTATATCACATGAGCTATAAAAGCCGGATTTATGATACAAAACATAACACGCATATCAACTTACTTTAGATTTTGTGTGAAGGTTCAACAAATATTTAATTTTTGTTAAAAAATTGCTTTATTAGGTTTAAATCCAGGAGACTGCATCTGAAGTGTCCATTGGTGTTTACAAGTCCCTTGTGTATCAGTGTTTGTTCTGTTGTGAGTAAAATTCATCAGGCTTCAACAGTATTACTGTAAGGCACAAGTTCATCCAGTGAAAACAAATGAACAAATAGGTTGCACACATAAAGGAACAATGTAGTGAATCTGGCCTCTGTATTTTGATCTTAGACTAAGAAATTCTGTGCTCGTGTTTTTTCCGTTTGATTATGTTTATGGTCTGGTTGTGACATCTGAAGCTTTTTCATGTCATCTCTGTGAGAGTAAAAAAGACATTTTAAATTGGAAGACAAAGTTTGAGGCTCTTTGAACATATAAGATTTTAGTTTATATGACTGATACAGAGAAAACATGAAAGTGGAAAGGTAAAATGTAAAGATGGAAAAAGAGACTGTTTGATAAGGCCATTCCCAGGCATAAGGGTCCAGGGTCGTTGTTGCTTGTTGCTGTGGGCCACTATTTTAAGCACTATTTTTATCAAGAGGATGCAGATTGATACAAAGCGACAAGAGCCAGGGGCTGTGGCAGAGCGTGCGGGTGGGCATCTACACGCTCGGGTCCAAAGGCAAACACTCACGCTCTCTCTGTCTCTCTTTCAAAGATCTCTCTCTATCTCTGGTCCCCCTCCAGGACCAATACTGTGTCCTCTCTGTCAGTATCCCGGCTGTACACATCTGCATGTGACACAAACCTCCGGCCCGCTTCGTGATCAGCGTGTGTGTTCTCGTGTGGTCGTGACTGTTTTCAGGGTGTCCCTAAAAAGCATTCAAATGTATTACAGTCTTGTTTTATAATTTAAGGTGACAAAAGGTTAAGTTTGTGGAAGTTTTTAAATTGGAAATGAAAAGAAAGGAAGCGCTTCTTATAAATGATTATGATTAGCTATTACCTTCATGAATTCATTAACTAGATCTTTACTGTATTTTAGCCGTTACATCAGTTTTTCATCTTGATTTAAATATTAGTTAAATTAAAGTGCAAATAAATACAAATATATATATATTTTTTAATTCCTTCAACTTCCTTCCATACTTCCTGTAGCTCAAACTGTAGAGCAGGTCATTGGTTTGGTTCCCATGGAAAGCAACCACTGATCAAATGTGTACTTTATATAAAAGATTTAAAGGATAAAAGCGCTTGCCAAATGTGTACATGTAAATTTACATTGTATTATTTTTTCAGCCCTAATCAAGATTCATGTAGTTCAACTGACTACATTGATGATATATATATTGGTTTTAATGGTATTAAATTATTATTATTTTTTTTTATTAGCATTATAACGTCTTAAAAAGGCCTTACATTGTATTAATTTAAACATGCAGAAGATATTATACAGTCGAACCAAAAACTATTTAGACACCAAATATAATTTTTGATATATTTTTTTTTTACTAGTGGGTGCATGACACTATAGTTCATTTATGTAAGTGAGGATAGCAAAATCATATTATGCCCAAACATTCTTCATACAGTGGACTACCAGTAAAACTGATTAAAATTTGGGACCAAAAATTATTCTATTATTATTATTAGACACTTTGACCTGACCATATTTTGCTTAAGTGTTTTTTCTTTAATTGCTAATGCGACCTTTTTACACCACAGACTGAACAAAATTAAGCATTGCTTGGTAATTGTTTGACCTAAATTGGTATTTTATAATTGTGTACTTAAATTTAACAGCTGACTGCTGACAGCTATTCAACCGAATTCATTTGTGAGACAGTCTAACAGAAGAATGGCATTATCAAGATGAATTTGTTCTGACACAGTTTAACTCTTGAGTTCTTGTCATATTTTATTATCGTTTTCTAAACTGTCTGAATAAATGTTGGTTTGACTGTATTTGCTTGTAGTTGTTTGTTTGTGCACGTTAGCCCTGGTTTCCACCAACAACAGAAGCATCTTAATATTTAACAAAAAGTTTTTAGATTTATACCTTTGTATTTGTACTTGCATGTGTGCGTTTTCTTGCAGTTGTGTCTGTTAGCTGTGCAAGTTCTGGCTATATGAAGGACAGTCAGCAGTACAATAGAGAGGCAGAAGGTCACATATGTAGCCATTTTCTGGCGTATGGAGTGGACGGCAGAGCAGAGGTTATCACTTTTCTTCCTTCACTGTCTTTCTCAGTGTGACAGCTCTGGCCTACACTAGCTCTGTCCTCTTCAGACGCATGCGTCTTATCTTCAGTTTCACTCCATTCTCCAGGGCTGTCTTCCCTCAGCAAGGCAAGCGGATCCCATTGTTGGACCATCTTGTCTTATCGCTGCGCCGACCCTCCTTTGGCTGTTTTCAGTTGTGTTTTGCTCGTCACTTGGTTCTCGGCAAAACGGCAAACTGAAACACTGACAGCAAGAGGAGCCTGTCTAATGGAGCCTCACTCTGAGGAGAAAATAGCAAACAAACAATAGAGGAAGCAGAGAGGATGATTGTGTAATTCAGGAAGAGAGGATGGGGAGTGAATTTGCATACTATGCGTCCCAAATAGTGTCAGATATTAGAATTAGTGCATCCCCAGTTATAGTACATTTTCCGGTGGGTTTTTGCAGTTTGCATCAGTGCATGCTTTTTCAGCTAATGTTGCCCACAAATGCTTGTAGAAGAACAGAAGTGAAGGATTTTGTGAATTCACTTTTGGCTTTCTTATGGTTCCCAATGAAGACTTGGAAATACCATGACATTTTTAAATTGTGATTTTTAGGACTTGAAACGTAATGGAAATTAATATAATTAAATCCATGTAATCTTATCAAGATAATTATTATTAAGTTATTAACTTAATTTTTAATTATTTTAATTATTCATTTTTTCCTGTGATGGCAAAGCTGAATTTTCAGCAGTCATTACGCTTCAGTGTCACATGATCCTTCAGAAATTAGTCTAATATGCTGATCTGCTGCTCATGAAACATGTCTTATTACTATTACCTAAAACACTTGTGCTGTTTAATATTTTTTGTAATATTAAAACAAACAAAAGACTTACTGACCCCAAAAACAATATTTAAAAATCATCCTTTAATGCCCCCAGTGATTGTATTGCAATAAACTTCGTAAGATGTTTAGGTGAAGAGGGAGATGCCAAATATGATCTAGTTATAGTATGTGCAATACCAGTCATAATGGAACGTAAATAAATAAATAAATAATTCACAGCAATTTCCTTGTTTGCAAATCTTTATACCATAAT